TGGGATGGGCTTGCTCTGAGTGTATTTAGGCCTTGCTTTAAAAACAGCGATCCCAACTCCTTCTTCCTGTCTCTTCAGGCAGGAGGCCAGAATGGAAAGTGAGAACATCACCTCTGTCAAGGAATTCATCTTACTGGGGTTGGCCCGCCAGAGAAAAATCCAGCTTCTCCTCTTTGTGGTCATTCTCATCATCTACTTGCTGACTGTTTTGGGGAACCTGCTGATCATCACCTTGGTGCAGGTTGATTTAAAACTCCACACACCCATGTATTATTTTCTTTCACATCTTGCAGGTGTGGATATCTGTTACGTTACCAGCACCATGCCGTTGATGTTAACTCAGCTGCTGGCTGGAGATGGAGCCATTTCTTTAGTATTCTGCATGATCCAGATGTACATCGCCTTGGCCACAGCTGCTGTTGAGGTTTTCCTGCTGGGTGTCATGGCCTATGACCGCTACCTGGCCATCTGTTGCCCCTTACTTTACACTGTTATCATGGGCAAGCGCCGTCAGTTGCAGTTCACTTCAGCATGCTGGATAGTAGCCCCTCTGCTCTGTTTGATTTGCATTGTCTGCCTTGTTTGCCAAAGCTACTGTGGCCCCAATCAGATCAATCACTTCATCTGTGAGGTCCCAGTGGTGCTGAAAGTTGCATGTGGTGATACAAATATTGCTCAGGCCATTATTTTTGGTATAGGAGCAGTTGTCCTTTTGCTTCCCCTTTCTGTTATGTTGATCTCCTATGGGTTTATTCTTTATTCTGTATCACAAATGAGATCAAGCATTGGGCGGCGCAAGGCTTTCTCTACCTGTGGCTCCCATCTCCTGGTGGTCTCCTTGTTTTATGGCCCTGCCATCTTGGAGTACATGGTTCCAAAGTCTGAATCAGCTCCTGATCGTGATAAACAAATTGCAGTCTTCTACGTTGTGATCACCCCTCTGCTCAACTCCATCATTTATACCCTGCGGAACAAGGAGATTCATAGGGCAGTAGCCAAGGTGTTGTAAAGAAGGCGCTTTGAACAAAACCATTTCTGCCATGGTTAATCAAGCTTTTTGTTTAAACTGATGGTCTGATACTGGCTGATTATGAGTATTACTGCAGACTGTTTGAAAACCTGTGTTTGTTGAACCTGGAAATCAACACATGGATTCTGTGAATGATTTATCTCTCAGCTTAATCTTTATCCTGTAATTGTGCTGAGATGTTAAAACCTCCAAACCTAGTTGGCTTCTACTGAAACCTAGTTCTTATGAAATGTGGAGTATGCTACTACCATACAGTAGCTGCGTCCCTGGTTGTGGTGTGAACTCTTTTGCAAAGTCTTACAGTTAAAACTGAAGGAGAACAAATCTGATACAGAGTGAATCTGGTCTAAAGATGAAGCTACGGGATTCAGGTAGGAGAGATATAATCTGTTCTCTGGGTTCCAGGGAACAGTATTATGGTTGTATATTCTTTATAAATCCTGGTTGCCACCAAAGAAATAATATCATATTCTAGATATCCATGGGGTGACCATATAATGTGTCCTATCATTTTGCCTGGCATCAAGGGTAGCTGACCAGAATCTCTCTCCTATACTTCAGAAAACAGAGAAAACATATTGTGGAATATGCTGCAATGAAATTGATGTTTTTTTAATTTTAAATAGAGATGAATAGGATTGCATTGTAAGGTCTTCCAAAAAATATGTACCACCCATAGTATTGAAATATTGTACAAATCTCTGACTGTACTAGAATGATGGAGAAAACACAGTCTATGGCAATTCTTTCCAAAATTGGCATGTATTGGCAGAAGATTTATTGCTTTGAATGTTGGGATCTTTAAATTTACATTCAGGATCAGATGGCTTTTTGAATAAACAAGAGTAAAATAAAAGGCAGAATATTACCTATTTCGTCTTTCTTCTTTAAAAGCACATATGAAATCGATATAAATACAATATGTATGAGGCATCCTAAGGGGATTATTAAAGTGTGGGTGGGGGGTTAATGGTTTTATTATCTTATATGACTGTTTAATAGCTGTTGGTTTTATTGTTGTTGTCAGCCGCCCAGAGTTGCTTAAGATGGGTAGCCATATAAATCTTTAAAATAAATAAATACATCAAAATAAATAATCTCACAATAACATTTCTTTCTTTTGCTTCCCACACATACATAGTAAACCCATCAACAGAGCTACCTTAAGTTTATTCTCTGGAAGATCAACATGTTTATAGTTTCTGAAACTGTGCCAGGTTTTATACAATTATGTAGTTGTAGTGAATTCTTTTTATGTGCATAGTTTGCATTACCACATAAAAATGTCCAGATAAATGATTACTAAGGGTGAAGCCTGCAAAGGTTCATATAGCTTTCATCTGGATTATTCAGATGCAATGGGGCAATTTTTGTCAAATTCCTACAAACGTTTTAATAAACAAATCTGTGTCCTCTGAAAGACCCAAATATACCGGTCAGATGCTATTCCAGGCTGCAATGGTGGTTCTGCTCACCAGCCATTCCTAGGTGGGGATTCACTTACATGTCCAGAGAGATCCTTATTTGGTGAGAATGGACAGGCAGTAGCAGAATTTGGAGAGCTCAGGGCATCATTTTTTGAAGTGGCTTTTCAACTATCCTTGAGATGGAACATGGATGAGGCTACGCTAGAGAAAAGCATGTAATTTATCACAACTACTGGGTATCCTCCATTGTCTATTTGCATCGTGATGAAAAACAGAAATACAGCAGTCCTCCACTGGCAACACTTTACCAGGAAAATTTAGGTTCTGCCATATTCGATTCTGCTGAGTGTGCTCTGAGATATCTGTTACGATGGTGAAAGTGTCCCTGTGTATGAATTGTAATGACATCTCTTATCTTGATAGGTAGGAAAGCCAGTTTATGGCTTATATAACTGGAGGATAAGTATCTTCATTGGTGCTTAATATAGTGTGTGCAAAAACTAGAAAAGTTGTGGGTTGAGCACTGAAACTCATGTGGTTGATCATCCTGTATGCAAATAATATGTCAATTCAGTGTTCCCTGCAAAGACCTAATTAAAAATCTAAGCAGAGAGAAATTCAGCAATGGTCCCTTGTTTTTAAAGTAAAATGTAACATAGCTTAAGTACTTAAACTTTACCAGAACTTTGAATTGTTAGAAACATATTGTTTCAAAAGGAGAAATACGCAGGAACCCTCAGCATAGAAGGAATTGGTTTTTTTTTTAACCACTGGATACACAGAACATTAAAAGCAAACCAAGAAACCCTGTGGAATTGCCTGGGAGAACTTCAAAAGACCATTGGATAGCAGGACGGATTCAATCACATATCTCTAGTTGATTTCCGTGTAAAACTGTAAGATAGAAGGAAATCAGGTGGGGATACGAATGGGCAAATCTGGGAATGTTCTTTGTTCAGAGATGGCTTTCCTTTAGTCTTCTCGAAAGGCCTTAAACTCATATTGTGCCTCTATAACTTAAATTCCTTAACTGCTCTTTCTAAGTTAGTGAGAATGCACAACGGAGATTTTCATCAAAGAAAAGAACAAGGGAACGTGGCAGTTCTTCACTGTGGAAGAAAAGTTGAGCTCCTTTAGTAGAGAGGTGCAGTTCTTAGATGGTCCAAAGCCCCTCTTTTGAACCCCAAACCCTAAGCCTAATCCTCATCTGTATTCCTTTGAACAAGATGTCCCTGAGGCCCTGAATGACCGAGGACTTGCAAAGAATAAACTTTGAACAAAACAGAGAAATAATTCTCATTCTGCTCACTTACAGTAAGTTGTTACTCACCAATTATAAATATCACATTAGATATGACTTGAGTGAAACTCTCTAGAATGATTGGGAAATGCAGAGGAAAACATGAAGTACAATCACTTCCATACCAGAAGAAAACTGATTGTCAGCTCCTTTAATGTCCTCCCATACTGAGTTTTCAGAAAATTGGAACATGCCAATGCTATATTTGCATCTACCTTCCAGAAACATTCTAAGTGAGCATTATAAATGAAAAGGGGTCTTCACGAAATGGGAATGGCAGGTAAAAGTATAGTATTTACTGATGTTGAATTATCACAATTTCTTTTTTTCTCTGAACTTCGTATTGTAAAACTAGGAGGGACTTTATTTAGGTTCACCTAAAACTTTTATTCTTATACTCTGATTATACCTCTAATCTTGAACCAAACTTTGCCTGCTTGCCAGCTCTGCGCTCTGCCTCCAGTCCTACTTTGTGGAGCAACCAAGATCAATTTTACTCTAGTGCAGCAAACAACGGTTGAGATAACTGGAGACTACAATTGCTATCCTATTTCCTTGTCATCATCTTTTTGTCCAGGCTAAGCCATTCCTCTTAGCATTTCATTTCCAAATACCTCACCATCTTCGTCATCTCCTTTTGGACATAATATGTATTTACAAAGCTTTTTCGAAATGTGTTATTCAGGACTGGACACAGCATATCTGATGTGACCTTCCATAATGGTTTTGTTCATGCATTCTAAGATTGCATGGACTTTTTCAGCAACCTTCTTGACATGCTGCCTCTAATCCACCTGATGTTGCAGAAAAGCATGGAAGATGAGAACCTCCCTGGCCTTTAAGGGGTTCTCTGGAGGCTAAGCTTCTAAAGTGGACTTGGCCAGAAGAAGAACGAAGCGTGATTCAATGAAATGATAATGATTGTTTAAAGATTATTCCACAGCTGAAATTAAAATAAAGTGTCAAAGAAGAGTTTTTAAATTCTTTTCCCAGCGCAGGTAAACAAAGATCTATTAGGAAATGCTGGATGTTATGATCTCTCATGAATCTCATTAGAATTATTATCTCCTAATAGTCTTTTTCATCAGAGATTTTGAGAATAAAGAATAACAAAAGGCCGCGTATTCCCAATGATGATATACACAATCCATGTATTTCCTTAGGGACTTCAACATGTCCATCACATGTAATTAGTTCCAATGCATCTTCAGCCACTAAAAAACATTCTGCTGGGTGGTTTTAAATTATTTCAACTTTGATAACGTGACAGGTTGCTGAATTCCTGCTAAGAGAAGCCTTCTGAAACTTTACAAAGACACCTTCTGTGAGAGTTCATGTAGTTGCTGTCATGATCAACCACAGCATTCCAAATAAGTGCCCAGGATCTGGCATTAGAAGAAAGCAAAGGGATAGTCTACTGAAGAGTGAATTCCTGCTAAGAGAAGCCTTCTGAAACTTTACAAAGACACCTTCTGTGAGAGTTCATGTAGTTGCTGTCATGATCAACCACAGCATTCCAAATAAGTGCCCAGGATCTGGCATTAGGGGAAAGCAAAGGGATAGTCTACCGAAGGGTTAGACATCTTAAGAGAAGCTGGTAGTATGAGCAGCTCCTCCTTGGTGGTGGAGAAAAGTACAAAGTAAACTTCATAAACTTATTTTTTGCCAATCGAGGAAAAAATATAATTTTTAGTGAAAGCGATTAAGGTAATGATGAAGACACACTTGACTTGATCTTGATTCCTAGTAAGTATATTGTCAAAATGATGACGCTTTTGTGATAACTGCCGAGATGGTTTCTCAACTTCTAGTCTAATTTGCAATCCTGGAAATCTCTGGTTGTCTCCCATCCAAAGACTTATCAAGACCTTCATTTTCTTACTCCAGGGAAGGTCAGGCAGGTGCTGTATCTGCTGAGAGACAGTTTGTTATTTTGGGAGAAGAAGTGGTTAAT